TCTTCCCTTGGAGTGGTTACTCCCGTCTGCGTAAAACTGAACAAACCAGGACAAGTTATCCCTGAATCGCGCTGAATTTCCTCCGCTTGAAGTCTGCAATCCTGCAAGAGCCTTGTACATCCTACGCGAGTGAGCCCAGTGATCCAAACTACTCATATTTACAGGAACAGTCTTAAATGCTAAGCTCTCCAGGGCAGGAGTTGTATCTCTATTTTGATTATATAGAGCTGAGCATACAGGTGGAGCATAAATATGTTACTCTCATTTCCCAGTTGGAAAAACAAATCATTTGTTCTCCTGTGATCAGGATATTGCTTAGCTTACTTGCATTTGTATCAGACAATAATGTTGGAAGAGAATCTCCTCTTTTGCAATCAGTTCTTGGGCCCGGAGCTTTCAGATAATTCCAGCTGTGGCACAGTCGGTGGGGTCTAGGGGATAAGGACCTTTCGTCGAAGTAGGACGTGAGATTTTAAAAAATACCAGGGAGGAGCTTAGGTTAGAAACGTGCTGAAGTCAATTCAGCAAAATATTCCGTTTCTGCCCTCCCTAAGCTTTTACGGCCGCACGCTCTCGCTTGCTCTCTCCCCGCTCCCAGCAGATCGCAGCTCAAACTGCTGACCCAAGGTACCCGGGGCCCGAAAACAACTGCGTGATGCTGCCCTGCCCTTGGGCTGCTGCACCCCGAAGCGTGGAACATCTGGCCGAGGCCGAAGGCAGAAGTGCCGTCGGATTGCCGATCCGCAATATTTACATTTCCTTTAGCAGATTGTGAAGCTTTGCAGTTCATCGTTTTTAGTTTAGAGCATTTATTTTTGGCTGAAAGTACAGAACTTGTAACTTGTGCCTATATATTTATAGATTGGCAGATAAAAGCGGGGCTGTTTCAGGGAACTCTGTTTTTATTGGCAGGGAGCGTGTTTGGATTACAGCAGAGTAACACCTTAAGTTAGTCACAGTCAAACAAGTCTCCGAGTCTTGAATTTTACAGAGGGGAGTATAACAAGCTGTTTAATTTCCCTTTTTTAAATTACACATTCAACATTCAATAAAATCAGAACCGTGCTTGCTGCCTGGTGAATGCAAATGGCTTTACCAGCTGGAGGATGCAGCCACGCGCGTCTCACGCGTGCTGTGTCGTAGCCCTGCGTTACCCATCGGTAAATCGAGGCAGAGAGAAATTCCACCGATTTGTGGGATCTCATGGGTATTTTTACGGGAATTAGGTCAGAACCCAGGAGTCCTGCGTCTCTGCTCGAGTCTGAGGCGAAGCAGAGGAGACTGGGCTTATGCAAAAGTGTTTTGGGAAGTCAAGGGCAGCTGTTTTATCCCGATTCCTCCCTCAGGCCAGTAGCAAGGCGGTAGGAATTACAACACGGGTGCCGTAGGACAAAGAGCTGCTGAATTAAGGCATGACGGGTTTGTTAGACGTAAGGGGACGGTGTTCTAATACAGACCCCTGCCTGAAGGAGAAGATATGAAGTTTGCTAGCTAAAAGTTTGACGCACAGCTCAGCGAAGACTTCCAGGGGCTGCAGAATCAGGCCGTGAAGAGCTGCTCCTGCAATCTGCTGAGCATTTTGAGTGCTGGAGGCCAAGATGTTCCAGGGACAATCGCAGAGTGCGTAGGCAGCCAGGGCAACATGCTGCCGGCTTGGCAGAAGATGAGAGCAGGAGATATGTGGGGGCTCAGAGTCTCCAGCGCCTGCTCCCCAAATTAGGAGCGGTATTTGTGAAAAAAATGGGTGCAAAATGGGTTTGGTTTGGTACTCTGACCTTCATCTCCCTGCCTCCCTCCTCAGTAAACCCACTCATCTGGGCCCTAGAAACCCTAGAAGCTGGAAAGCATTGGTAGAGGCTTGACTTGTTGGTGAGACCACTGCAAAGCCAAAAAAATAAAAATCCTTTTAATTTTATTTTTTTTAAGCACGTTCTGGAAACAGATGGGGAATAGTTGCCAGTATTGACCAAAGGGCTGTTTATTTCTCTGCAGAGCACACACATCCATTTCTAAAAATACCTTCCTGCAGCACCACGGCATGTCCCAGCAGCAGCCGGCTGCCCCGCTACCTCTGCCTGCTCCCTCGGGAGCTTGTCTAATTGAATATGCTGCATAATACGCTGCTAATTTGGCAGCTGTCAAAATGAATTATAATTTTTTTTTTAACAGTACCGCGGTGGGGGCGAGGAGAGTTGCCACTCGGTGTGATTACACCAACTGCCCGTGTTTCTCTTTGCGTCTTCCCTTCTACTGGGCACTGGTGAGGCCGCCCCTCGAGTGCTGTGCTCAGCGCTGGGCCCCTCACCCCAAGGCGGCCATGGAGGGGCTGGAGCGTGGCCAGAGCAGGGCAGCGAGGCTGGGGCAGGGGCTGGAGCCCAAGGCTGGGGAGGAGCGGCTGGGGGAGCTGGGGGGGCTCAGCCTGGAGAAGAGGAGGCTGAAGGCCCTGGCCCAGGCTGCCCAGGGCAGGGGCTGAGTCCCCATCCCTGGAGGGATTTAAAAGACAGGTAGACATGGTGCTGAGGGACATGGTTTAGTGGTGGCCTTGGCAGTGCTGGGTTAACGGTTGGACTTAATGATCTTAAGGGTCTTTTCCAACCTAAACAATTCGATGATTCTATATGATCCCCGACTCAAGGGAGAGCCAGTGAAGGGCTTGAAGAAGACTCAGTGGGTCTTTCCCCGGTCTCCCCCTGCACTTCTATGGTGTTGCTTCAACAACTCCAGCCCTGCAAAGCACTTTGGGTCCCCCATCCGACACCGGCTGTTTGCCAGCCCC